TAATTAAAATCGCTTTTTTCATTGCTTCCTTCTTTATTACCTCAAATTGTGGGATTGGCATACCATCACTAGGTAGAGCAATTTAATATTTATCCCTTGGAGATATGGCAACACACTTATTCGTAAACAACTCGCTTGGCCATTCACATGGCAACAAAGTATCTCAAATTTTCCAATTTTAGGAAAAAATTAGCTTTGTATCAAGTTTTATTTTGGTGGAAATATTTTGTTGTTACATAGATATATGAGGCAGTGCCGATATCCTTGTTCTGGGCCCCAACTAGCCTGTGAATACTGCCACTTCTCCCTGCTCTTCGACTCAAAGACAGACAACCGGTTTTTAATCTGGCCAGGAGCTCTGATTACTCAATTCAGCTTTGCCTATTGTTTATGAAGAAATGACAAGACCATAAAGGTCTAATAAATCCAACAACTTTACATTTGGAACCCCATGACAGCCAGATTTATTATGTGAACACTAATTTAACGAATACTACGAATCGTTTCAAGCTGATAACAAACTGCAGCTAGGCCATCCTTCCATGAATCGTCCACGGCTATTTTACTTGAGTATGCATCGTAGAATGATCGCACCGCTGCCATAAGAGAATACAAATCACCTTGTCTGTCCGCATCGATCGCACTTGATGAATTACTCGCCCGACTTGCGAGATGGTTCACTAAAAAAAAGACTGTCCCCTAGTCTCCTGTGAATACGTTCGATTACTTGCTGAGTGTCGTGAAGATGTCGACGGGCCTGTGAGATAATGCCAGGAATTTTGTCGAAAAAATCGCCAATGTAGGCAGCGTCCATTATGGCGACGCCTTTACAACTCGAAATAGGCTCGTGACTCGCGCGTCGGTCTCGTTCCGAAGATTTTCGGAAAAGCCCAGAAAATCGATATTTTCAACCTATATATGAGGCTGTACTTTCAAGTGATACAAATATGTTGAACTTTACAACCTGTATTTGTCTCAACGTAAGCTATATATAAGCAACATTCAACCCATTTATTACACAGTACAACATATATTTAGTGATACAACCTATATTTTAGTTTTCAACATTTTTGTCACGCTTGGCGTTCCATATTACAGTCACAATTTTGAGTCCTATTCAAATCACATGTCCTTAGTCACGCATGAGGATTCTAGTTACCATAGGATTAGAATTAGGGTCGTATTAAAAATTATTTCGACTGAATTCATCATGTAAAGCATTTAAAATCTTGTTTTTGGAGATAAAGCATTTTGATCAATTTGTATCCAAAAGCGAAATGTACTTAAGCTTTCTATTGCGTGCGTCGTAGTGCGTGACACAAGGATGTTTAATGAGCTTGGCGTCATCATATATATTTATACACCTACGTGATTTATCAGTAGTAGTTGCAAATTAATTCAATAACGACCGCTTTTGATACTCGAACTTTGAGAAAATGCCAAGTGGGCAAAGCAAGGAAACTAAGAATGGCTACACGGCCATAAATCAGCCGAGAAAACCTATACGATGCGTGGGAACAAACATCCAGATAGGTTTGTCTTAGTTCAAAACAAAGACAGAGTTTTGAATTGAAAATGCGACCGTTTTTTCTCACACAACCCTAACATTTCACCTATTACACAACATGAACATTAATTACGCATTTACAGAGAGGCTTATTATGCGAGCTTTCGCTACCGCCACGACTGTTGAGATCTTTTAGATTTAATTATTTTGGCCATACCTAAGCGCCGAAAGTTCGCAAGCTCTGAGTCAAACCAATAGTTAAGAGCACATAATTTTCAGCTTGGGTGCCCCCTAACGAAATTACGAACGAAGTAGAAACTGTAAATAGATATCAGGATGATCAATTTAGAAATTACCAGGTAAAATTACGTTACCTTTACCTTCGTTACTTGGGAAGCAAGATCACGGCCACGGTACAGTTGCATAGAGCCAGCGGTACAACAATAAATCTATTTGGATTCATATATTTCATGTGACGAATACTTACCGCCTACCAAACAAAACAATCAGTCGAACCTGTATTAAGCGAAACTGTATTTAGCGGCCAACCTGTATTCAGCGGCCAGTTGTCGAAGTTTCGAATTCATTTTGCATTAAACACTTTAATTTTCACCTTTATTGAGCGGTTGCGGTCACCCTTTACATGACCTTAACGCCCTGTTTGTAGTGTCTTCCACCTGTATTGAGCGGTCATTCAGCGCAGAATCACTCAAATAAAACTGAAAACAAGCCTTTAAGCATATTAATCCACGTTCATCTACCAAAATTAATGCTTAGTAGTATTTTAAGTATTTTTACGTTTAGTGGTCACTTATGGCATAAAATGGCGTTTCTTTATTGTCCTCTATAGCACCTCTTTTCTGCGAAACCCTCACTAAATGGTCAACCTATATCTAGCACTCCCCTCGCCATTTTCCGTGGGTGACCGTTTAATACAGGTTCGACTGTATACAAATCCAGTAGGAAGGGGTTACACGCTTACATTGTCACTCTTCGTCTCGAATTACAGGCGCGTACAGCGCAAATTATTTGCTCAAAGGATTATAAAAATACACTTACAGGGCAAAGAAAGTTTGTTTTTTCATTTTCTGATATTTTCCTGTCTATTGAGGGAAAAATGATTTTTAAGTACACAACCAAATGGGTCGGACCAATTATTAATTTTATTGAGTTGCGGAAAACAAAGTGATTACATTAAGAGAGTGTTCGACGATTTTATTGGCGTTGTAAAGCAAAAGCGTGATTTGAAGACGAACGAAGTACGATCCATTCGAATTGAGGGTAAACACTGGAAAAGTACTAGAGTTATTGGTTTTTATCAACAAAATAACCTCCGATGTGTTGAACAAATTTGCTGATGAATTCTCTAATTCAAACAGTTTTTGTTTCCTTTACGTTAGCCTTAAAGAACGATCCTTTTCTCCATATTCTCCATTGGCAGCATGGCGGAGGGATGAGTTCACAAGCGCATGTGACAAAAGATCGGCAGCCTGAAAGAGAGAATGGAAACGTACAGCGGATTTCTTATGTTTTCGTCTGGTCATTTGTTTGGATGTTTTGAGGTTGCTATATTCATTTAACTGCCTATTTAGTGCTCGAGGGTGAAGTATTTTCTTATTTGTCACGATTTAACTCAGTCAATGCACCGTTCGATGTATGGCTTTTTCCTGGCCCTGCTTGCGCCAACGTGTACAGCACTAATACGGGGAATTTTACAGCAACTATCTCAATAATAGCACCCTGCAGGCCGGGCGTATGGGTGATAGTTGAGTAAGTATTGTTCTTTATGATTATCCAACTGTCATTTCTCCTCCCTCTCTCACAACCCTGCAACAACGAAACTTATCTGGGATATCTGCCTCCTTGTTTAGTCACACATCGTTCTTGAATACCCGTTTAGGGAATTAGTGAGCTGAGTGTAAAACGATTAATACTTTATCCCCTAGTGGTCAAATACAATTCAATGTTTGTTGGTTACGTAAGTTCTCTAATTGTATGACACCAACAGAGAGAGAAGAGAGAGAGAGAGGGAAAGGGAGGGGAAAGAGAGGGGGAGAGGAGTGAGGAACGTTTTTAAGATATAGTGCAAAAACAAAACAAAACGGCTCTTCCATTATTTTGAAAATTGAGATAACATTGCTTTCATTGGAAACGACTTGCACGGTAGCATATAAATAGAGATTTTTCAAAAAGGCCTATAGTCAAAATACCTCATTAATGGAAAACAGGCGGTTTTCATCGCCATCGCCACGCAAGAAAGATAGCATAGCGTCCGTCAGTGGCAGTTTCTGAAAGGCATCTATAAAATCTAATAAATTTTGACATTTGTAAGTGTCTGATATAATTGTTCCATGGGGATTTTGACATGCTGTTTCGAGAACCTCATTCGCTTAAGTCCATAGTTTCAAAAAAAAAAAAAACAAACAATCGAACTGCAGTAAAACCTGTATTTACAGGTCACCCACAGGAAATGGGGGAGTGACTGTTTAATACAGGTTGACCAGCAAATGACTTGCGTGACATTCATTCGTATTATCTGTCTTAACAGTCCGAGGAAGACATCAATTTAGGGAGATAACCACGGATTAGTCTGACATCAGGAGAATATTCTTAGTTTTATGTGAGTGGTTCCGCTTTCAGTGACGGTTCAATACACAAACAGAACACAAACAGGCCGTCAAAGGTGACCATAACCGCTAAATAGAGGTGACCATAACCGCTTGATAAACTAGATTGATAAGGAGCAACATCTTTAGATCGTGAAGAGGTACTTTTTCTTCGATTTTGAGGATAATTAAGTGGAGCACGACCGGTCAACCGATTATACTTGAAAAAGTTGATTAACAAATCAAACCATAGAAGATTATTATAAAAAAAAAAAAAAATCAGTATAAAACAAGAAAATACGACCAATCTAAAATAATTCATCTCGATCGAACACACCCCAGATTCAGGAAATAATTAATGTCCTTGTAATACTTGTATCAAATATAGGACACGTTCCTCATCAATGGAAATTTCACACGAAAATTTCTGGAATTTTTCTTCGTATGTGGATAACGCCTTCTTTCTCTCAGGAAACTCTGACAAGTGAATAGCAGTGATCGGCCAGGAAATATTGATGACAAAGCAAATAACAATTAAGAGACTGCCTTCCCTGAAAATCTTTGAAAAGATGGTCACTTATTTATAACCTCAGGGCTGAGTTATAATAATTTTACCTGTCCGTGTTAAGTTCTTGTTATTTCTAAAGTAGTGAGTGGCTTTGTGGAATCGTCCTTGCCTGAGTAGAGAACCCAAGACCTGTAAAACGACATTTACGCATACTGCTTCTGTAAAATATTTCATCAATGTCAAGTACTTCAAAGGAAAACGATGAAGAATAAGGAATGAATGTCAAAGCGATCTCTGCAGCAATGAACACTACTTGAGCAGTAGTGAAAATATGGCCTGAAAAAAAATTCAGGCCTGTGCAGGATTTAAACCCGTGACCTCGGCGATACCGGTGCAGTGCTCTACCAACTGAGCTAAAAAGCCAAATAGGAGCTGTAGAATAAGAGCAGCAGGAATAAAAAAAAAAATAATCGATGAAACTGAGAGACAAAACACGACTTGATTGATTAATAATCTTTGTAGCTCTTAGTACACCTCACTGTTTTCCAACCTGATTGTATTGTTGTTCGCTTAACCCATCTCTCCCCCCTGAATTTTATCCACTTGTGCATCAGACATTACTTAACCCACTTTTCCTCCCCTGAATTTGATCTACTTGTGTAGTGTATCACACACTACTTAACCTTCCCTTCCCCCCCTGAATTTGATCCACTTGTGTATCACACATTACTCAACCTTCCCTTCCCCCCAGAAATTGATCCACTTATGCATCCCACATTACTTAAACCATCCTTCCCCCCTTAATTTGATCAACTACGGCTTATTTCAATACTGCTTGGGAGGCAAGGGATGGGAAATGTGATGTAAAAGCGAATGCGAATGATGCAGTTCCCCACAATTTGCCAGTACGTTTACCCTACCCGTAGTCAACGAGGCAGCAGGAGTGAGTCAGCTCCACTCCAAGATTAAATGTTCAACTTGCTTTTATAGTATATCAGAACTAACAATCTGTCGTCAGGCTAATCTTTCAAAAGAACAACTGAGCGAAGAAAATGTAAATGAGTAAAACGATGTAAACGCTCTGGCATCTAATGAGAAATTTACTGTAGCATAGAAAGTCCAAGCACGCTCTTAAAAACCCGACTCCTAAACTGAGTTGATAATGTAAACTGCACACCATTAAGAGTCTTCGTTAAGCTGACGTTTCAAGCATTCAGTAGTCCTTAGTCAGCCCGAAAAACCCTTTATAGTGGCCAATTTACATTATCATGAACTCTGTCGATGACACCAAATCATCTTGTACTACTCCCCATCGACGCAACAACACAGTTCCTATAATAAAGTATCCCCTTATTCTATACCTAAAGAATTTTATTCATTCCAGATAAGACAAGGATTTCCCAGTTACCTCTTTATGAGCACCAACATTTTCGAACACAGCTTCAGAAAGTCCAGCTAATCCACAGGCACAACTGAAACACACACACACACACACACAAAAAACAAACAAACAAACTAAAACAAAAAAACAGTACAAACGGCAGATTTGATATTTTTACCCTTTACATATTGGCCTACAATTGATTACTATGGTCTAGTGTAATAAGGTCAGGAGAAGGACTAAACATACGATCCAGCAAGCAAGTCTGACCGCTTTAATCGGTACTTTGACAAGCATGGCGAGAAATGTTTCTGAAAGCATGGCCCATAAATTATTATTTGCTAACCACCTTAAATGTCATACATTCGTCATTAATGTTCAAATTACTCTTGCACGGTACTATATCAATATAACTAGTATTCTCACTCGCGTAAAAGCCGCCGCATGTCGAATTAGTAAATCGGATAACTACGTACTCGTGGCAGAAATGAAATCGATAAATAAAAAGAAAAGTATGCAAGACAGATTTCCTTTTTTTAGGGGCGGGGGTAGGGCTGAACTGCGGAAACGCAATATTTCCTTTACGATGCTGTGCCATTTGCACGAGTGGAATTGCGTCTTGCTTAAAGCAAACCTAATGTAAGAAGACATCGAAGAATCCCCGACTTACACAAGTTGTTTACGGCAAGCGCCGGAGAGTCAGAGACAAGAATTTATCAGCAAATTTATCATTTGCTGATTGATCCATAAAACTGTAATTTCTGAAAACAGAAGTGATTCCCGAAATTCCCTTTGACAAGACAATCGGTTTAAAAAAGTCGAGACCTAGCCAGTCTTTACGTCATCATTAGTCACAAATCCGTCAAGTTCGCTCTACCACACGTGTGGTGACTACATGATCTGCTGCACGTTCAGGATTTCAATTCAGTCCAATTATCCTACATTAAATTAAAATTTTTTCCCTCAACGATTTTAATGATAACTCTATATCTTACAGACTCCAGGGGCGACACTTCAATAGCTCAAGTCTTATCGTCAAATTTCTGCCAAACAGGGCTTCTTCTAAGATGCATTAGGGCCTGTTAAGCCAACAAAGCTTAAACACTCTGTTAAGACAGCTGAACAAATGCCTAAGGGATTTCATTATCGAGGTTTCACGATGGTGAAAGAATGGGATATTTTTGCAGTATAACAGACAGATTTCTTTAGTACGGTAGGGTAACCCTTTCAGATCTCCAGATTACAATGGTTTGGCCTATTAAGGTTTAAAATAGTTCTTCAGCTGTTCTCGTAATTAATCATAGCACCACGACTGTTTCATCGTTGCCAAAGGCTGGTTAAGTCAAAGATAAAACCTATAATAGTTTAATACTTCTACGGTAACACGCATTCAGCGACTGAGAACAGTTAAGGGCTCAAATTGCTAAAAAAACAAACAAACAAAAAAAACTCTAAAATTGCATGTAAAATTAGAATTAAAATGGTCTTATCACGTGGAAACTTGGAATTGCAAAATGAAAGCACAGACAAAAAACAAGCTTAGTAAAATACAAAAAAAAAAAAAGAATAGAAAAATAAATAACAGCAATAGGAAACCTATGAGTTACCTGTAAAATAACTTCAAATATCAGGTCATCAAAGTGGAAAATCGAACGTAGTCTTCTGTTGCATTTATCTGTATTTCTACGAAGGCTACCACTGAGTTTTTAAACTCAAAAAGTTTTCAAACAAGCACAACCACACCAGGTTCATGAAAAGAGAATTATCCATGAAACAAGAAAAACACATTTTTCTTTCTAGTAAGCGGAAGACTAAACAAAGATAGAATAATAATGATAATAATAATAATAAAATAAATGCTTTTCATCGCTATCTACCTTAGGAATTTCATTGTTACTGATTTTCAAAGGTTATCACAAGAAAACGAGCGACCAAATTCGTAAGTCTTTGATTCCTGCATTTTCTTATGCATTTTTGTTTTTAAAATCAATCTGCTGATAACCACACGCTAAAAATATTTCGGCCACAAATTTGCAAATACTTTCACGTCAGCACTTTAGATTAAACCTTCAGGCAATGTTTTTCGCACAACAAAAACGCGTGTGAAAACAAATCACGGAAGACTTTTAAACACAGTTAAGGTTTAAGATAGACGTAGATGAGAAATTTTTTTCAAGGGCATGTATAATGCGACAGATCAAAATGGTACATGGACCATCGACATAACCCGCGAGGATCATGAGATAACTTACCAACAATTTTTCTTTTTCTAAGTTTCAGTAAAAGGAGACAAAAATGGATAAATTGAATTTCGAGCAGGGATTGACTACCATCATCACACAGACAAACTGGGAATGACTAATGGCTTGGAGATGGATGCCCTCTGGCATCGAATATGTGGTACGAAAATGTCTATTTTAACTAAATTTAGCTCTCACTGTCACCATTGTCAGGTTTTAAGACTGATCCATCATTTAATCACGTACGCCTGCGTGATCAGAATTGATTAAACAATTTTTTTTTTTTTTTTCGGGTAGGTAGATATAGAACATTTCGAAAAGGAAATATTCTAAGTATGCAAAGTCGATAAGATTTCATCAAGAAGTCATCACATTAAAATAAACATTTTCAAAAGGCAGGCTTGGTTTTTCTGGTTATCTAACAAAATTTATTTTGGGAGCAAATTAGGAAAAAAGCAATCTATTTTCTTTGTATATATAGCACAACAATCGGTTGCGTAATTAGATTATTTTACAACATTTTCATATCATTTATATGCCTTAATGTGACAGCGTGGTGCTGTTAGTGAGATTCACAGGTGCTTACCAATACTTGGCTGTGTAGCCGCGCGATGCGGTTCCAGTCGAGGCCCGCAAATTGACCCTTGCTCACCATAGAGTCTCCAGTAGCTCAGTGGTTAGAGCATCCGACTAGATCACGGAGGGTCGTGGGTTCAAGTCCCATCTGGGGCTCGGATTTTTCTATTACACTAAAAATTTGTTTATGTACAGATATTACGCGGTAAACTAAAATAAAAACCGCTTTACAATTCGGCCCGTTTTGCATCAAAGATGGGCAGATCAAAGTGCGTGTCTTTATGACTTAGATCATACTCATGGTGTTAGTGTTTACTGAGACAATCATCATCAGACCAGAGAGCGCAAGATGCTATGGAAACTAAAAACCCGGCCTTAGCATCCATTTGAAATAAAAATTGCTGTAATTACTTTCATATATGATGCATATTTAATCGCGGAACAAGATATGTGGTCAAAAGAATCAAAACAACTTAATGGGGAAGACATCATTTCTAAACAATATCCACTAAAGACACAGGCGAGTGATCGACACAAACGACAGAGAGAAAATTTCGTTTTCAATGTTTACACTTCGATGATTCTCAACGTGACTTTTAACAAGCTCTTTGACGGCAAATGGTATTTCAATGAGCTTAACTCGCTTGAGATTGTTGTAGTATAGAACCGGGCGATGCGCAGCGACCGGAGATAGATAGATAGATAGATAGACAGATATATAAATTTATTTTTCAATTCGAATGTACAATGAGCCAGCGACTCGTACTAAATATATTCGATCCACTTGGCGAACAGGATATTTCCTTTCTTTGAACTGCTACAACCGTTACGAACCTGTCAATCCGTGACAAAAATAAAATATCTTACGGAAGCTTGCAAGAATAAATAGAGGTCTTCCCAATTATGTAACAGCAGTCTGCTTTGTCCCAGAAACTCTCTCTGATCAAACGTCAACCTGTGTTCTCCAAGGAAACAAGACTCTCGCTTGGAAAAGAAACATGGCGGGGAATGGGTCTTACATATATCAGACGGATCTGGCAAGTTTTGAACGTTACTTCCTCGGTACCATTAACGTATTTTTTAGCCTGTGTGGTATCTTAGGCAACGTGCTTGTCGTCGTTGTAATAGCACGCAAACGGCAACTACACACCGTCTCTAACACGTTCATAACGAGTTTAGCAGCGGCAGATCTCCTCGTTTGTGTCGTTTCGCAGCTCATGTACGTAGTTTTCCTGTATGGTTTGCCACCTAATACAGTATACGGCAACACACGGAAGGTGTTTTCATTTGTCTCCGTTCTGGCATCAATTAGCAACTTGGCTGCCGTGACGATCGATCGCTACATAGCCATCGTTAACCCGATGCAGTACCAGCTCAGAGCCAATTTCAAGAGCGCCTCTCTCCTCCTCTGCGCCATTTGGGTCGTGTCTTTGGCACTGGGAATACCGAGTGGTTTCGTACGATCTATTCAACATATCACAGTGTACTATATAATCGCACTCTTGTTCGTCATAGTTCCGATCTATGTGCGAATTTATTCAATCGCTCGAAATCAAGCAAGGCTTATCACTAAGCAAGCGAAACATATCAAGAAAGACTCAAAAAACAAGCATGAAAAGGAGAATATAGCTGCAAAAACTATTGGGTACGTCCTAGCCGTCTTTATCATTTGCTGGTTTCCTTTGCTCATAACTCCGATGATCTTTCGTCACAGTGAGAACAGCCGCATTGTCAGAAAGGCCTTGAAATGGGCTCAGACTCTCGCTTTATGCTCGTCGGCCTTGAACCCTGTTATTTATAGCCTGAAAACGCAGATTTTCAGAAAGGAAATGAGAAAAGTTTTCAGAATCGCTTTTAAACGACATTCTTGGGAAGACAAAGAGACGACGTATGTCTAAAAACTCGCCTTTCTTGCCAGAAAGCTCGAGAACTTTGTATGTATAACTATGATTTCTCCCCACAATTTAATTAGGATACATTATTTTGTATAATTTACCCTTGTTGGTATGGAAGATATTCAGAATGGGAAAGCGTATAATGTGGAACAGAATGATTACAAAAAACGCTTTAATCGATGTGCAAATATTCCAATTTATTGGCCTTTCAAGTCGCGCTCGATGTACCAGATGTAATAACTTATTGCATTATAAGAAAACTCCATTCTGAACTAGTGATGCAACAATAAGATTTCGCCAAAAAATTCTATCGATTTATATGCATGTAAGATTGTACATAATGTATAATTTAGTCGTTGGTGAAAACGGAAATTCATGCGCAGCCGAATGATAGCAAACTTACTCGCTCCGACGTCAATCGTAAAATCATTGAGTTATCATCATTCAACGATGTTTGTGTAGATATAGTCCACTCTTATTTCTTTCGCGTTACGCTATTCAAAAGACTCCGAAAATTAAAAAATAAACACTCGTTATAAAGACTTTTTAAGAGTATGCGTTTACAACAATATAAGGCTATGTAGCTTTTAATTATGGTACGTGTACCTCCTCTGTAATTTCTTTTCGTTTCGAGATCAGTTTAAGTGGCTCTCCTTTTAATTGAATCACTTGAGAGGCTGTTGCTTAAAGTCACGTTAAGAATAATCGAAGTGTAAACATTCAAAACGAAATTTCCTCTCTGCCGTTTGTGTCAATCACCCTCCTGTGTCCTTAGTGGATATCGTTTAGAAATTATGTCTTCCCCGTTAAATAATCTCTACACCTGTGACGCATCTGAAAAGATTCGAGATTTCCTTGCTACTATTCTTGAGCATATCTATACGTAATGTGCACAACCAATCATGAAAATTTATGCGAAGAACCAATTATCTGTCACATTATTATGCGTCATGGATTCAGGTACCTCGATAATAATACATTTGCACTTGCCGTAGAGCTTGAGGAAATAGGGAGCTTATTTTTCAGTTTCGTAACCGAATAAGATATTTAATACAGAGGATAGAAAATGTATATACTTTCTTTTGGAGAACTGAATTTTCTGCTTGAAAGGGTTAAGCATATTTCCGAGGCATAATGTTGCAAATCCTCAAAAACATGTTTATGCACTTTCAAGACGCCTTTCAGTCTTTGCATGCCTCATATATTACTAAGTGGCTAGTTTATTTGCGAGGCAAAGTATCCAATTTGTATGTCTTGCATTTTCTATTTGCACTGAGTCAAATAGGCCAAAAGTTTCCATAATCAAAATAATTTTTTAATGGGAAAATAGATTTTTCCTGCGATAATAAGCCATGAGGCGACTTTTGAAAGAACGAAATGGTGTCTTACGAATAAATGCGCTTCCCTGCTTCAGCAGACTCATTAGGCTGCGAGGAAGTTTCTCTTAAAACTGTGATACTGAAAGAGCGACAAAGAAACCCCGACGGCGCCTCCATCGACAGTACTATCCCAAATCGGAAATGTAGAGCTCGCAGGCAAAACGCTTTATTTCCTCGCAATTTGCAATTGGCAAATAACTGCGTCTCGAGAGGAGATGCATCGGCCTCCTACTGAGCCAAAATCTAGAGAGAAAGTTCTTTTTGACAACAACGTTGAAGAGGAAATACATTTTAAATTTCAACTCGCTGAAGGAAACTCAGCATGGGCTATGGGCCACGAAAGGCGACCAAATAACTGTTTAGTTCAGATCTTCCATTTATGTTCATTCTTAACTGGTGGGCACGAGACAGATGATATACTCAAACAAATTAAAAACAGGAGAAGACGACGAGCATGTCCACAGAAGGTGATGTTATGCTAACCTTTAACGTGTGCAAATCGATGAAAGTGGTTTTTTTCTATGAAAAATTAAATTCTCAATTATAGCAAACTTTAACTGAAACTATCCGACTTCTAACTCGCACATTTCCCACAAGGTATTATATTCTTTTTTTTTTTTTTTTTAATTCTGGAAACCAACTCAGACTACTTAAGGATATTAAAAATGCAGGCTTACAGAGATCAAAGGAAATATGTCAAAATGTCCCTCGATCAAGCCGTCTACGTTCGCTGCTTTGTAATCTATTTAATTTTCTTGTTTGCTTGCATGGCTCAGTTTTAATTTTAAACAAGAAAATTCTGACAGTGTTCGCATTATGCTCTTAGTTAACCACATGTGGACCAAGCGTAAACTAAAGAGCACCATAACGCTTAATTTGTCGGAAGTTTTGTTTTTGACAGAGTAATTGTTTCTACATATTGAAAGAAAATTATCCTTTGCTAAAATGTGGCCGCCTAACCGGAACCGCGATGTAGAATTAAAAATGTGAAAAAAAAAAAAAACACAAACATGAAGAAATAAGCAGTTACCTTATATCTCACAAAGCATCAAACGCATGTTTTAAATTTTAGTTTTGATTGTGGTAAAAGCACTCATAGGTTTATGTCACACACAAAAGAAACTGACTCGGAAATGCTATAAATACTTGCTAGTTCAGATGCAAGACAGTTTTACTACATTTTAAGTATAAAATCCTTAAACCCAGCGTTGTTTTGATGGAATCTTAGTGTTGTATGGGAATGTACCTAAAAATGTGTTTTAGCATTAGCATGACTTTTAGGAAGAAAAATACAAGAACGAAGAAAAAAAAAAGATTATGATAGGAATAAAATTCCACAATCTATAAACTGTCGTGGCGTAGATGAGGCCGAAAAATTACACCAAAAAGTAAAAAAACTAAATATATCAAAGAAAGTGGGAGAGACAAAAGCAAAAAAAAAAAAAAAGTTCAGTGGCCAGTTGTATAAGAGGAAGATAACGCCATCCAAAGGATAAATCCCCATCCGGCGGGATAAGTGATAGCAAAACGTACTTCACTATCCACAAGATAAAGATTCATCGACTGGGTAGCGAGTTATCCAACCTTCGAGCAACCGGGGCCAGATGTGCTTATGTAGAAAGAAATTGCATCTAGGAAATTCCTCATATCGAAAGTGAATCAATTATCAACAACTCTCTTTCTTTGATGCTGCCGGTACTTCTTTGGTATGAACTAAAATGAGGCATAGAATTTCTTTGTGTCTGCATAATTAGTACGATGGGACTGACAATTGTAGTTAAGTGAATAGCGTCCGTGGCTCAGAAAATGTGAAATGTACCTTTCGAATTCAATTGCTAGGTGGGCAAAGGAAGACGTGGTGATAATTGCTGTGTGGGAGGAACTGCGAGTTGTTGACTAATGTATGAACGATAAAACTTTCCCCTGAGCTTTATTTCACGCTGGCCACAATGGATTCTGATGCTAATAATACACTACGCAGAATTTTACAAAAAAACTACTTGCACTTTATACTGTTATTGAGACCTTTCTAACCCTGCTATTTACAGTTGATAAAATGGTTATCAGAGGAAATGCAATCAAAAGTAGAATTAATTACAAATGAATCATCCATCTGCCTCCCTTGATATCTTGACAGGACAGTGATAATAAAAGTTGCGATTAACTTACAGAATTATAATGAAGATATAATCAGCTAGTGAAAATTTTCTCTATTCTGGAATCGGTCCAATGTTAAAGGAAGAAAATACTCTGTCCATTGGTAATTCACATAGTTCATATCTTTTAGGCTATATTTATAGTGGTAAGTGATCTTTGCCTTCATCTAGTAGGAAGTATTTTAATTCCGTTTTATTGCAAGGATACGTGCTCTCTTGAGTAATATGTCTTGAAGGGAATTTAATAAGAAATGATTATTAAAACTTGTTCGTAAACAGCGATAAAAGGACGTACTCCGTGAGCGCTAGACCCATCTCTACTCGCTATTGGCCAGGCTAACATTTTCGGGTTCGTTAGAACAGATCAATTATACCAATTATATCAATTATATCAATTAGATCAGATGCAATTATACAGAGTAAATAAATGTACTAAATTTCAGGGTATTTTTATGTCAGTTTTTTAATTAATGTTGGCTGCATCAGGTTAAATAATGACAGTTCTCGATTCCTAGCACTGTTTTAAGAACCAATTAAAAACCAATTACGACCACATCTTGTCAAAAAGGAAGTAGTTACACGAGAAGGACAATTTCAAAATAGATCTATTTGCGTCACATTCTAAATATGGCAATCTGTTGTTTAAAAACTGAGGCGAAAGTGTGTTGAACGTGACCTCGCTTATTTCTTTTAATAAACTGTGTTTAAAATTTTGCAACGTTTTTATCTTTAGGTCGAAAGGGCTGCTAAGGTAGAGGAAACAAAATTTAGATTATCTAACACTTTCGCTGAATAAATCTTGAGAGAAACGAGGCTAAAAAGAAGTGAAATCGCATGAAGCCTCATCTGTTACAAGAGGAGACGTAAGCAATCGTTGACTGCATACTTAACGCCATTTTCTCACGGTTAGTTATATGTTTGTCACAAATGATGGCGTGAGTGTGGATAATGGTGCGTAGATTTGAATATTAGTGTTCCAGACAAAAAAAAATCGGGATAAAAAGGTAGAAGACATCAAACACAAAAACAGCACCAATGACTTCTTATCTATATTGTAAGAAAAGTATAAAAAATAGGATGCGAATCTATGTTGGCTAAACTTCAAAATGTGATGGAGGTAGTAATTATTACTTTATAATTGGATCCTTAAAAAGTCCATAATTGAAAGTTAGGCCTCTATAAAGAAGAAAACGATGCTTACAATTTATGATGTTTGCTTCTTTCGTCAAATAATAAATTGCAAAATAAACACAATCATGTAGTGGCAAATTCGACAAAACTTTAGTTAAAAACCTGGTTAACAAAATATCTCAGTACTACCGCCCCGATTAGAATTCCAGTTTCATTCACAGCAGATGGAAAAATAAGCATAAAAAAATTCAAGTCTGCGAAACTGTGTTGGCTAAACTTCAAAGGTAATAGAGATAGTTATAAACACTCGATCATTGGAAATTAGCCCCTATAAAAAAGAAAACGATGCTTTTAGTTCATGATGCATAATACTAAAAGATTGCATCATATTATAACTTTTTGCAAAAGCCCTCGGTTTTAAGATGCAGGTGGTGGAAAAACTAGATGCAAAGACAGAATTTTAGATCTTTCCCTGGAATATTAGACAACAAAAGAAAATCATTTCAGGAACAGCCAATTATTAAATGCGACACGGAAGTCTGTGTGATACCCTATCCACTTTTTCACTTTCGAACCACTTCACTCAAAATGATTTTCTTGATTCGAGGAGGAACTGAACCTGATTTGCGCGTAGTGTAATAATAAATATTAAGCGAGTACTTCATGTAAATACCCCCCTTGTGTAATTACCATTTTTTGGCGCCAGAATGTTGTCCCAGGGAATTTGGGGACCAATTACCCCCCTTTTTATTTAAAGACGCAACGAATTCAATATTGGAATAACGGTCTACCGAAGACGTCCAAGGATCATATAAAAATGTATGGATTGCCCTACGAATTGTAGGTAACATTTCGTTGCACTTCGACTCTCAAATACCATTTCATATTTAGAACAATCTATCTATTTGTTTTTCAGTTTGACTGTTTCCTTTGGAAACTAGTACAAAATAAAAGGGACTCTATACATCTGTAACCTTCCCACTTTAGTGGCGCAACCCACCGTGAGCGCGAATCTGAACCTATAAAGGACGTCCTTCACGTGTTTCCATTCTATGCGTGCCTATTTTATAAATGGCACCTTATCAGAAAACGAACACCAGAAAGTAATTAAACATCAATATGCAAAATGATAGACACGATAGCAAGTTTCCTGTCAATCATTTCGACTAATTGGTCTTTGGATGAGAATTTTCAAGTAACAATTTTAAAATGATAGTGTGTGAATGCCAAGACCTTGTTTAAAAGAAATATATCTAACCAAAATTGTTCCGCTGAAAAAGGAACTTAACCTACATACAAATCCAATAGGATCTTACATCTAGAATATAATTGAAGTCCGTTTGTATATTCAGTCGCAGTCTGTTGTATACATTGCTTTCATTTATGAATCATTGCGATCATGTTAAGCAGAATTCCCATTTTCGACTACTGTCCCTTATTTTGGCACTAGGAGTTGGTCGATATCAATTTCACAGAAAGACAGTTATCGCTAAATCCAAATATACGAGGCACGGAGAAAAAAAATAACACTAAATAAACCATAGGTCGCGATAATCGTCTTTTGAAAACAATTCCAATAGGTTTATATGGCAAGCCAAGGTCATAGAAATGAAGCCTCTATTATGTAACTACCGACCCTCTAATCAAGTGCGGAATCAAGCACAGTAAGGAAAGGCAGTTCACTTTGTTCTTAAATCGTGTATCAGTTTGCTGCTTAGCTGCGCTAGCCCCTATTATTGCTATCCCATTCAGCCATTAAAGAAAAGGGTTAAGTCTGTTTACATGCGTCGTGGTCCAAAAGTATTAGACGTAAATCAAAATGAGGAAACAATAGCCGATTAAATTGTATTTTCATTTCCGTGGACCAAAACTGGGCAAGAGAAGGTGATAGAGAAAATATTTCAATTTTTCATCTTAGTGCGAGAAACCCTGCATCCACTCTAACAGATCACTTCAATTCTTGTTTCTAAAATCGATTAAACCCACCAGGTCAAATATTATTCAATTTTTTTGTTATTCATAGTACAGGGAAAAAATGGTTTCTGGTTTGGCATTTACATTCTAACTGAAATAAAAAATATATATATATTCTTTAAACAGAAGGCAGTTTTTTCATTCTTGTTGTCTATCGTTACCGAAAAAAAAAGCATGCATATACTCTCATCTGGCAAAGTTTGATATTGTTCCATAGTGAAAGTTACCTTGAGCAGAAAGTTATATTTAGGCGTTGTTTGTACCTGTTAGAGCATCTACAAGCTTCAGATATCGGTCTGCCAGCCTCTCCTGATAGAGTTAACTGTCAAAGGAAAGGCACAGCAGAGATGACTGGGTGGTTAACTCATCAAATTCGGGGCAGAAACTAACTTTATAAAGGGCATCTCTATGGGCGTGGCTGCATTAGTTAGCCTTTATATGGACACTAGCCCTTGGTACAGTGAGTTTGGCCAAACTGTAATAGCAGTGAATCCATGTAAATCATGAATAGTGTATATCATTAAAACTGTGCTATCACTCTGTCGCAAAAGCTGTAATTGGTTAGGTAGTACTACTAGTTATCAAGGGAAAATAATGGTCCAATTATTTCCTCATCTAATCCCTGATATTGAGTAGCCTGACGGTGTAGGTTGAAGACTAAAAAAAGTAATCATGATGAAAAAAATTAATACATAGAAAAAATCAGATATTATTGCTGTCAAGTCTTGGGCTTTAACTGGTAGATTTAAACTAGAACAATTCCATTAATTGGTCTTCTATGTGGATCTTTGACTTTAGCCTCACCCTCATCAAATAAAACAAACAGATTCGGATGAGATTTAGCAGTGGACACTCCACGAGATGGCTCTTCTGGTTCACTGTTTCCAGGTCGAATTGGAATTTAGAATGTTGGTTTTGTGAAGGAAGAAAACCGGAGGACTCGGATAGAAACCCTGAGAGCAAGGACGAGAACCAACAAACAAACTCAACCCACATGTAACACCAGGTCAGGGAATCGAACCCAGGCCACAGTGGTGAGGGAGGCGAGCGCTCTCACCACTGCACCATCACCTTCATGCGAGAGAGTTTCGAGCTCATTACCAAATTATAAAAACAAAAAAAAATAAAATGTATTACGGCAATTTTCTTTGTTTACCTGATTCTGTGCAACCCAGTGAGTTAGGAGATCAGCTCTCCCTAAAACAAAACAATTGAGAGAAAACAATGATAAATGACGACACAAGTATCAAGGGGATAGTTCTTGTGACGGGATTAATCAACATGTCCATTGATACTTGAATAAAAGATTGGCTCCGCGAAGAAGAGACAAAAGACACATTTCCGACCTAAGAGAGCTAAGCGTTTTGCAGCCAAAATCTCTCTCGTCTCTCCTCTTTCTTTTAGAACCAAATAATCAACGCGGAACGGACATAAAAGGTAACCGTCTACTCGGCCATGGTTCGCCTATACGTCCGTAGGACCATTCAAGTCCTTATATCCCTTCAGTTTCCCAACAATGGATACCACACCGTGGCGACTTCCAAAGGCATATTATACATCGCCCAGCAACAACAAGGACCGGCGACGCACGAAAACTTGCCCATTGAGGGACCCAATCCCAGTGTTTAGACGTCAGTTAGCAGGATCGCCTATTAACGCACCTCTCGCAAGGAAGCATCTGACACACTCTAAAGTTTCCCAATAAGGTGGTTTCTCACTGCCAGTGCCAACTGTTTGAAGAAGAGCTTCCCAATAGGACACCAAACTGGAACTGAATGATAAACATAGTTCAAAATAAATGCGCTGAATTTAAGAGTGATAAAAATAGGCAAGAGCGTTGTAAGTATAAGTATAATAATAATAATAATAATAATAATAATAATAATAATAATAATAACAATAATCGTTACTACACAACTTCCCATAAGAGCCTTTTTTTATTGACTTTGGATTGAGTGCTCAAAGTGTGATCTAGGGCTAAGTTGGCTTTCCTTAATTGAGCTTAAAACTGGCTTTAAAAATTTTACCAACAGATGTTAACCTAAGACGTGTTTTTTATTTCTCGCGCTTGGTTCTCGTCGTCGCTTTGATTGGCTTTAACAAGTTATCTTGTTTCGGTTTTACGATATTCAGTCAAAAAGAGCGGTAAATCGTAACTCCAGATATTTTCTAACCCTAAGCAGACATTGGTATGGTTACGGTCAGAGAATAAATTCCATATCATCAAACATTTCCAAGAATTTAAGAACATATTTCTTCAATCATTTCTTTGACAAATTTATTTAATCAGACTTGCCAGCACAAAGTGGATTTCATCGACAGTTTCAAGAACACATCACCAAATGCAACTCTTACCTGCTTGCATGAGTTGCATCGTATTCTTTAAACTTTTCAAGAGTCTCCATCTTCCTTAAAACACCCTTAAAAGTAAACCAATGTACTTGGTTTTAAACCAATATTATGAGCAAAAATACAAAAGAAATCTCTGCTATGTCTCGCCCTGTCCCTGTTAAGAAGACGTTAACGAGCTTGTGCGCGCACGACTCGCGTGCGCGTGCTTTGGGATTACGTATTATCGTATTATCGTAAGCAAATCACGCGGACCTTTTTATTTTTGACGTGTGCAATTTTCTTGAAGAAGAGTTGAAAGTTTTTTAGTTTTATCGATTAGCGGTTTGTTTAACGGTCGTTGTCGTTTACCGTGAGTCTACAGTTCTCCGTGTTGGAATAAACGTATTTGCCTTGATTTTCCGTTTCACTTCCGAACAGTCCCTGTCTTTTAGATGTATGAGAAAAATGTCCAGAGAGAGCTATTCGTCGTGTAGGCAAGAAAATTTAACTTGAGTTTTACTGCTGGGCATTCAATCCACACCAATACAGATTTTTAAGGTCACTGCTTCTTACACATTTTTGACTCGATGCTTATAACCTTGTTCTGCACATGCCCGATACAATGGTCATGTGTGACTTCGATGTGGCATGGACTGAACACACATTTTCCGTCTTCCAGTTTGACTAAAAACTTTCACTTCGATTTCCAGAATGAAATTCCCCTTCACCAAGATATCCCTCGTACAATTAACGGAAAGATTTTCTCATAACGTGCAGCTCTTTTCCTCTGAACAAAACCACCTGCAGGTGCGGTTCCGCTTCAATCCATCAATAATTTATTTACAGTAGGTTAAAAATTAAAAGCAGTAGAGCTGATATGGATTTCGGTACATGTAATACAAACAACAATACTCTACTGATTAAAATTTGTAAGTGCAAAGAAAAATATATGCTAATACTTTTCAATAATAAATAGAATCTTAGTGTTTATTCGAGATTATGTAGGCTTCTTTCTTAAAAAAACGTGTTGATCATTTGAATTTTGTACTTATTTCTTAGAGCATACCTGAATAAAACTTAAAGAGGTAGCCTGTTTTAAACTGAATGGTAAGCTATTCAAGGAATGTCGGTCACACAAACCATTATATCATCTATTTGCTTTTTACCTTGGGAGAATGTGCAGCCAACATGACAGCATCTTCTATTTTTCCTGCTTTATAAACCTGCAAAATATATCAGTGCCCTTCTAATATCATCAAGAAAAAACATGTGGTTCAACTTTTCCTGGATCACGCAGTGAATAATGAGAATTTCAAGCCAATAAAATTGAGGCTCTTGTTGTTCAAAGGTTGGATAACGCTAGGGTCCACTATCCATTGGATAAATCTGTATCCATGCAGTGGATAGCGCAGCACGTTTTGCTATCACTAATAATGATAATTTCAACCCAATAAAGTTCAGGCCTCTGTTGTTAAAAGGGTGGATAATACTATACAATGGATAAATTTTTATCCATGCGGTGGATAGCGTGGCACGTTTTGCTATCACTTATGGGCTGGATAGCGATCTATCTGATGAATAGCGTCATCCGCCCTTATACAACTGGGCCCAGAAAAATCATGATAATATCATCATCATCATAATAATAATAATAATAATAATAATAATAATAATAATAATAATAATAATAGTAATAATAATTTTTATTTCAAGTCGATAATGTAGGAAGTGGTTGCCTAATCCCCCGAGCCGGTGGCTCATGTTAAAAACACTCGACAAAAGTAAAATAACATAGTTCAAGTTTTACAGTGGTTCTTTCACATAGCTAAATCATACACGAGTGGCATTTTACAATTTTCCATTTTAAATAGTGTTTTACACGGTAAAATAGGTACATTGTGAGACGAATCTTGGTCAGGCATAGTTACAGTTATGCGGAAAACTCAAGTTGGTAGTAAAATAAACCTTTCATTATCTTAGTCAACCCTGAACAATTGAATACAAAAACTCGCATTGATTGTACTTAAATCACTTTTTTTCAACCGCAAGTTGACTGGTCTGATGGAACAGATGTACAGTTATTGTATCAGATTATGACGCGCGCGATAAGCCATATAAAACGTGTAAGCCTGTTCCATACCTCGTAGTATAGTGCGGCCGGGGGAAGGTTTATGAATTCCAAGAAAAAAATGAATATTCAGAGAAAAGTTTGTGAGCCCGGGCTTACAGGCTTAAAGGGAGCTGCGCGCCTGTAAACCCTCAAATTCTTAAAACTGATTAACGTTTTACTTCTCCTTACAATACCTATACATTATCCAGCAAAGAGATGACGAGAAAAGAAAAACGTGTCACGTATGGCAGCTAAAAGAGAGAATAACTGACTTGAAATTCAAAGGGTTGAAGTGGCCAAGTCTTTTCAACTCCTTTATGGCGTCAAAGGATCTTTGTTAAGGTCCGCCCGGTTCTCTAAAGCTTGCCTTTTCCATTTGGTCCTTCTGTTCTGGAACCACACCTTCACTTGTGTTTCACTGAGCTTCAGGTATGATGCTAGCTGCTTCCTTTCGGAGCCCACCACGTAGTGGTTCTTCTCGAACGATGTCTCCAGGCAAAGAAGCTGGAATGGTGTGAAGGCGGTTCGAACTCGGCGAGTTCTTCGGCTTGTCGTCTTCTGGTTTCCTTGTTGTGCAGAAGCGCTACTTGGTGCTACAAGTGAATAGATGAAGCTACATCAGATCTAATTATTCTTTGAACCATCTTGGGTACCCCTGTCTGTGTAGCTGTTCTACCCTTCCCTTCATTACGTGTCTTCTCCGTAAAACAAGGGGAAAATGAAGGCAGGTTGGGAATTTGTTGAGGGTACGCTCTAAAATTTTGCCTTCAGAAAATTACGTGATTGCAATAGCGCTCATATCTTAAGAAATGAAACTTCGCAACAGTTGCGAATACTCCTAAAAACATAGGTCGTTTTATACGCGATGGATACATGTAGTTTAGGATCCAATTTATTGAAGGAATTTTTCCTTCATGGCGATAGTTGATAGCTGAAAAAAAATGACTAGAGGATGGATTCTTTTTGTCCAACTTTTAATCCAATATCTGACATCAAGAGAGGAAATATCTCCTCTTTTTCTCCTTTTCTGAGATTTTAAGAGATAATGCGCCCGACGACATACTAGAACACTTTTTACCTTCGATACCAAGTTGATATGATTTACTAAATAAAACCAACTTACGTCTCTCTGTGGTTGTTTTGGGCGGTGAGGAACTTTCTTGAGCGACCCTGCTTTGACTTTGGTATGGCGTCCACCGAAAGTTGTCCCGTGCGATTGTTACCGGGGTCGACATGGACTCGTATTTCCCTGATGGGCTTGTTATATCCTTAGTGGTGGTTGGATAAGTCAAAAACTTCCTCTCGGGCGTGAAAAGTGAACAGGACGGAGACGAATATTGACTCGGAACTGGCGCAGCTACGATGTCTTGATATCTACAGATGGCCCCGTTACAATCTGCAGAAGGACAAGGGCATCGGTAGTACAAGAAATTTGTCGACATCATGAAAGCTCAGTGTTGTTTTGTTCTTGGTCTTATCTCCCTTTGGGCCGGTCCTGGATGAAACTGGGTTCGCTAACTCTGAGATAAATGCGTTTATAAGTGCGTCTTTTATTTAACCTTAGGTCAATATACGGAATAAATGAAAACGGATATTACTGTATTAAGTGAGAAATAATCATTTTTGGTCTTTGTTTGCATTGAGCTGTGTGTAATAATAACTTAATCAGAAGATCGGATGTAACACTGTCTAATCTACACCAGCAATATTTTGTTCTTTAGTTCTTTTCTGTCCCAAGGACGTTGTTGTTCATTGTAAATCGTATAGTAATCGCACTTAAAGTCGGCAGATTGTCGAAAGTCATCGGGTGCCTATTCTGAAAAGTACGAATTACGAAATCGCGCACTTACGTTGAAAAAGCAATCTTATTTGTGTATTTGTACTTTCTTTCTATCGAAAAAAAGACAGTCTGCCAAAAAGTTAAAATAATGAATAGTTAACATACAATTTAGATGGTCATAATTTGAAAAATACACTTCTTAGAAATCAAATCATTCTCTTTCATTAGCTAGTCGAATGTAGGTGCGAAACAAGTACCTGAAATTTCATGGGAAATTAATCGCGCTTTACGGAAAAGGAGTGCAGGTGAAAAGCTCAAAAACGGAGTAAGATGTACCAGGGTTTGATTCATTGTCACTTTATTTGTATTTTCACTCTCAGTCTCAGTGTCACGTGTCAAGAGAAGAGAGATTACTTCGGTTGATTTGCCGTTTCAGTGCGTCAGAAATTCGCGCTGAAGAATTTAGATCGTCTTTGTAGCCACCATTACTCATACACTTAGCCTAAGTAATTTAATGCGCTCGTTTGCAAGCAAACGAGTAAGCACGCTTGTTAAAGGGTCGTTTGGTTGTAATAACGACCGTGGAAGAGCAATATCC